TGAATGAATGAAATTTTAAAAAATTCTCAAATCATATTTGAATTTATAGTGTACAAAATGTAATTAAATCAATGTAATAGCATCATTAATATGTATATACAGTATACAGATTACATAATACTATCAATGTTATATTGCTTTGAACCATCGCAATAATTAAGTCAGATAGTATTTGACTTCTCTATTACAGACAAACTAAATAAAATTGTTTCGGTATTAAAATATTCTAATTCCACAGTTAAGAACATTTAAGAGCATTCATATATTTCATAAATATCTATTGGAATATGTGGAATTGAAATGATATTAAAACGCGGAGTACAAGAAGACCTAGCCTAAACTAAATGAAATGAAACAATAAAAATGTTACTACTCATGGGTATAATCATACCCATGGTCACTATGCTTGCGAACCACGTATACAACTAGTAACCCGTGTCGATTCGGACCATTCGTCCTACGACATGATTGGGCACTAGAGGAACCATAAAACATGCGACTCACCGTTCGCAGATATACTCTTCTTCCGACAGTCAAGTAGGAGGATGGACAACACCAGGTAGGAGGCTGCCTTGTAGGAGAATACTGAAGTCGTGAAGAAATTCATCTGTAACAAAAAAAGAAGAATTATGGTTAATTTTGAAAATTATAAATTTTTATTTTAATCAAATTATATATGAAATTGAATTATATAAAATATTAGCAATTAAAAAGAAATCTCAATTATCAAGTGTTGAAATTGTAAATTATTCTATTTTAATAAAAAGCAATTAGTGACGTACCAAGACGGAAGTCGTGAAGAAAGCCATCATCAGGATATCCAGGAACTCGGCAAAATAAAAAAATTCATCTGTAACCAAAAAAGAAGAATTACGGTTAATTTGGAAAATTATCAATTCTTATTGTAATCAAATTTTATATGAATTTGGATTTTATAAAATATCAACAATAGCAATTAAAAAGAATTCTCAATTATCAAGGGTTGAAATTGTAAATTATTCTATTTGAATTAAAATTAATTAAATAAACTAATAAAATACTTACACTCTTTCCTCATGGAGCAACGCCCAAGACTCCTCTTCAGTGGTGCACTGACTCTAATACCGGATATATCGAGCAATTAAAAATAAAAATAAAGATATGAAATATTAGTAACGCGACCGTGAATAATTTCCGGCGAACAATTGCAGAGACTCTACTTTCACGATGCAAAAAGAAAAATCAGAGCCGCGATGCTCTAGAAAATATTTTATAATACGCAGCAAACACCGACTCTACTTTCGCGTGATTCCTAATTGTACAAACGCAACTCTATTCAGGGCCAGTTCACCCTTGAAAAAATCAAAACATTGGAACTATGTTCGTACAAACACTGACTCTACCGACCGCCTTGCACGCGGCCACAACAATTCCTGGAAGAAAAGATTAGTGTGGAGGTTGGGGATGGCTGGAAATATACAAAACAAACATTCTTCTTCTTGAGAGTTCGTTAAGGAAATACTGTTATTATGTGTAAACGGAAATATTCCTGTTCATGAAATATTCTCAACGAACACGATAGTAATAATGAAATGTTTTAAATACTTGTTGATAATTATTTCAGTGAATATTACAAGAATAGAAAATCATTGTTAAATAAATATAATAGACCATTTTATTACAGTAGAGGATTTTTGTTGTTAAAATTGTAAGCATACTAAAAATTGTTGAAAATTCTATTAAGTCGTGATTTATAAATTGTCTAAATTCTTTTTTATAAACAAAGTCCAATAATTAATTATGCTTAAACAGCATGTGATTTAAAAACGTGATTCTATTTTAATTTAAACTTGCATCGAAAGCTGGATATTATAATATAATTACTACGATTTAACAAAAATAGATTGTTTAAGATAATTATTGCAGAAGAGAAGCAATCATTTGCAGTAAAATACGAATTATTTCAATTTTGTTCTAATTTAAAACAAATGTATTAAAATACTAGACGAAATTATTTAATAAAATGAAAAATGAATTATTCTTTTTCTATGAATTGATTGAAGAAAAAAAATGTCTCTAATCTTTTCTTTCTTGACCTTGGTACTAATTAATTATCAAAAATGCTTACAATTAAAACGACTCAGTGGAAAAGAAAATAATAATAAACGTTAATATTGATTACAATAAATTGAAACAATAAATTCTTACGAAATTCTATTTCAAACCCATATCAGGTGGCGTCCTTTCAATATGCATCAAATATCTGTAATAAAAAAGAAGTACGAATTTATGTAAATAAAATTTAATCAACAATAATAAAGTTATTATTAATAAACGGTCGAACTATAATTGATGCAAAATATTTTAATAGATACAATGCGTACCTACTACTTATGCGGAAGGGTGGTCTCAACACGTCTTATCACTTCGACGTTCGTGAGAGAAATGGCGAGACCTTCCTTTCCGCCGAAGACCGGTCGGCACTTCGGCAACGCTCGGTATTGTTCGGTATATTCTGCTATCGGCCGATACCTAACCAAATATGTATACGAACAGGTCTAAACAGAAATAATATTACGATGCTCAAGAAAGAACGTTATTAAATTAAAAACAGCAAATTGTATACAACAGTACTAAAAACATTCAGTAATGTTTAGGAACTTAACGATATAAAAGAGAAAATAATTCAGATTCTGCTGTTCTACTCTTATTGTGTATTCGCGACGAGAGCAAAAATTTTCAACTTGCGTATTTTTGAAGAAAACGCCGAATTAATGTTAAAGATCAAGAATTCAGAGTTCTCTTCGATGTTTCTTTCTGTTTCTTGTACTGTTAACACCCGATCGGCATTTAATTTAATATTTGAAGATAATTTAATCTTACCTGTTGCAGACACGTGCCAAACGGACGAAGCTTTGAAGAGGACTATGCACTCCACCATACTCCGCGCAACGCACCTTTCAACGATGAATCTGATTGGTCTAAATAGGAGGACGCCATAAAGGAACAACCAATCACAGGCATTGGTAGAAACTTCGAATTGCTATGAAACTTTATCATTAAAAGAAAATTATCAACGTCATATTGAAATAAGGTTAAGATTTCGTTTTTCACTTTAAAGCACCGAAATATAATAAAGAAGATAGAAAAATACATAAGATATTAATGGTATTTAATAAATTATCATCAAGAAAGCAGAATAAATGAGAAATATGTTGTTTTAGTTCGTATCTATATCATTAAAATAGGGTATAAATTTTCAGCTTACGCATTTCTGAAAACAATATGGAAATGATGTCAGGAGTCATGACTCCGGTCTTCTCTTCAACTTTGTCTTCTGTTTCTTGTATTTTTGATATCTAATACACAATTTAATAACATACATGAGCTGCGAATGATTGCACTGTCCAGCATACTAAACGAATGAACTGCGCCCTACAGAAAAAACGAGGAACTAAATTATATGGTCTGTTTTAACCTTTTTGACGTCTTTCACGTATAAAAATCGTAGAAGACAAATTTCTTCTACCTGGAGGGTTATACATCATCTCTTGAGTGTTCGTTTACTCAACATAACTAGTTACGTTCTTAGATGAAAAGTCGCAATTTTCGGAAATTTTAATTACTTGTAACTTCTAAGTGCATTGACCGATCTCGATGAAATTTCCAGCATATTTAAATCTACGAAAGACATATTTTAAATTTCTACTATAGGCTCACATAAAAAAAATGAAAAATTACCCTTCATTATTTTCTTTCACGATTTCAACAAATTGTAATTTTTTAAAACGACAAAAGCTCGTATCTTAGTAAATTAATTTGTATAACTTCTCAAAAAACCTCATGTCATTTGGTCCAATTTTAAATTAGGTATTCTGTTATAAACGATGTCCAAACACTTTTTGTACTCACTGTAATTGTCTTACCTGTAATAAATGAGAAAATTCCAGATTAATAAAAAGAAATTGTAAATTAAACAATTTCTAAATGAAAATAAACGTTAAAATAATATATTAATTTGTAACACTGAATTGAAGCCCAATTTCCATTTTTACAATAATTAATTAGAGAAGATTTTTAAATTCGATAAATTAGCAACACAAAATTTTGCAATTATTTGTGTAAAATGATATTATTCAAATATAATGCAAATTTTACAATGAAACTAATTGGCATTGAAATTTCGGATCGATTAATAATTAACCAAGCAACGTGTTCCGTGTACGGGTCATTTCTGATTGGTTATTAACAGCAGCCACCAGCACGATCATTAAGAGGATTCAATCGCCCATCAAAGGGATTTGTTACTTCGAAGTCAATAGACATTCTCCATTCCCAATAGCGCTAATTAACGTGTGAACCAGCTGCGTCTAATTTGCATTATTGAACGATAACTCTAACGATCGTTGGTGTTACCCAACCACCTACACCAAGATTAATTCTGATTTATTACATGTCCATTGTTAATATTGCTAATTCAAATGTTAAGTAATAATGTTCTTTCAACATTATTTTGAAATTTGAAACACGAAAAAAGGGATATAACACTGATCATCGATCACTCTTAAAATAATTAACTAATAATTACAATTGTTCCAAATTATAGAAACGTCACCAAAGGGAAATTGATGGTCCGAAGCAGGATACGATAATACATACGACTTCGACCCGATCAAAGTATTATCATCATTTATTTATTTAACTGATCATGACAAAGTAATAATCACATAAAGCTGTTAAAAGTAAAACCCCCGTTATTACTAAATCGTGTACTGTATTTACAATGTATATGTATAATTAATAATTCGCGTTCGTCGATTAACCGAGCGCGATGCATCTCGTTATTTTTATCGTTCTCTTTCATTCATTGACCAACGATAAATATATAATATATATAATTTTCTCATCTTTTCCATTTTTTCCAATTATTATTATTATTATTTATTTATCATTTTACCGGCGTGTCTGTATCGCTCTGCTTACAAAAATTAGGTAAGTAAAGCTAAAAATGTGTTTCTATCTTTCTTTCTATTATTTTTCTTCTCGGTTCTTTGACAAAAGCGCACGTAGAAATTATCCCTCGTTATTTTTCATCATTTTCTCATTCATTCTCTCTTCCACATTCACTCTGTCCCTCTTTTACTCCCCTCCCGACATAAGAAACAATATTATTGGTACCCAAAACCCCGTTTTTAATGAAATCCATCAAATAAAATACACTAGTTAACAATAAATTATTAAATATCTATTCACAAATATATGCATAGGCTAATTATCATCGTTTCTATTCATATTCTCATCACCGTCAATCTATCCTCACTGAATCGTGACCGCCATTGACCATTTCGTTATTATATTTTTCTTTCTTCTTTACACGGAACAACGGCCTCACGGTTTCCCTGTTCTTTCGTCTCGGTCTAAATAAATCACCAGCAAAATAGAATTGTTCGTTCGGTTTGTTCGCGAGAAAAGGGAGAGGAAAACGAAGATTCCGAGTTCGAAGATTTTTCGACAGGCAAGTTTCTCCGATTAACCGAATCTTCGTTTCCGCGATCGTTGATCGCGATTCTTCGACAACCCTGTTACCCTGAAATCGTGTTAATATCCCGTGAAAACGGTACCCGAGTTTCACGTAAACAATGTATTCCTACATTTTCATTCGCGAAGAAAAATATTTCACGATCATTCTCATATCTGGTAACTCGACAAATCCCTTTCGAAGAACAACGCTCTGGTGGAGTTAAGAAATCTTGGAAAAGAAACAAGAAATCGTTCAACGAATCGCTTCAACGGGTAATGATGACAACACCATTTATATTTGTCAATTCTTGGGCTCGATGACCAAAGTTTGAATATAAATAGAATTTTAATCAACTTTTGATCATTCGATTCAAAATTACCCTTCTTTTTTATTTTAAGACGATTTTAAATTATCTAAACAAGAATAGAATGCTGAAATTCAATTGAAATGGAAATAAAATGATTAAAGTCATAAAACTTGAAACGATTTCGATCGGCCAAGAATAGACTAATGTAAACGCTGTTTGAACATTCACGAACGAAGGATAGTTGTGTTTATGTAAAAAAGAGGAACGAATCGCTTGGAAGCATGACGATGAAAAATTTTGATTCGAAAAACAACAATCTTCGCGCGGAGATCTCGGTTCGCGTCATCGTGACGAGGTCTCTCGTCGTGCCAGTCACGTTTCCAAGTGTTTCGTTTTCCAGGAATAAGAAAAAGAAATATTCCCGTGTACACGTGTGGATATATTCTATGGTGTCTCGCTTCCGTTCCGAAGATGAACGCACGAAAGAACGAGCTTCCGGGAGATCATCCGTCATCGAGGAACGAAAGCCAAGAGGCGAAGTATATTTTTACGTATAATATATATTAAGTAACTTTCTGGCCGTCTTAGTCATCGACGAGTGCGATTCTCGCTGATTGTTCGGAAAGCAGACACGGGATTTATTATTTTCTTTTTTTATTTTCGAAAAATTCGTTACTTCTATCACGAAGAACACCATAGTTTCTTCATTTCCCGCGTCTTACGCTGCGTCGAACTGCAAGAAACGATTGTGTTAGTTTGTTTATCGTAATCAATCTTCTTGATGATTTTTTAACTTGAGGTGAGGTTCATAGGATCTATAAGTCTTTTTGTATTTTCAAATAGACTCGACTGATAAATGATCAACTTATTGCTGTAAGATCTTAAATTTCAAGTATTAATATTGAACTGACAAATTTAATATAATTTTAGGCAGTGATTGGAATTTTCGATTTTCATTACAAATTGAATAAATTTTAAAAATCTATGGGAAAGTTACAACAAATTACAGAATGTTTTTTAAACCCTGTCAAGTCTAATCCATGTTATGTTATCCACCTTTTTTATTAAGAACCATCGATTTACATCTTCGATGCACAATTATCGTATCAATGGCAGCGATTAAGCTTTCTTTGATTAATAATGAATAGTTAATTGTCATCAAGATACAGATTGATACAACTGGAACACAGGTATGTCGGATGTGATTTAAAATAAAAATCGGAATCGTTCGAACTTCGTGTCTCGTAATTGAAGAAAAATACATTTCTAGAGACGCAGTTTCCACGATTCCATATCGTGCACCATCACGTTTCCAGCAATCGAACGCAGCCTCTCCACGCTAAAACGCATCCATCAAGAATTTACAGTATCACTCATGCACACACTTTAACGCTTGCTTCGTTCGTTGCAAAGCCTATACAATTACACGAGGAATCGCTATATAACTCTTGCTTCTACGCCTGGGTACCTCGTATAGAATATGACTTTCTTATCTTTTTTTTTCTCTCCTTCCTTTTTAAATCTCTTTATATACACGCCAGTTTATCGGCTGCTACGTTCGCTCGCTAACTACGACTCGCTGCTTTTGCTTTCCCCTTCTTGTTAAACGATGCTTCTGTGCTTTAACACAGACACGCTCGTTGTCTCTCGCCATTCTCCTCGATACACAGTGACGGATCCAGAGAGGTCTAATTTAAAATTAATTTCTGTTGGAGAATAAAATTGCCTTTGCTGTATCTTAATTTTATTAGATTTTTCATATTTTGCATATTTGTTTTCCATTGCTTTTTCAATAACTTCTGATTCTGTACACTCGGGTGCAATGCAGCTTTCCTTTGGCTAAGGATAAGGGTAAAGGGAGAAACCTTTCACTAATTGCTTTTGATTTTGGAAAAACTTAATGTAGACCCTCTTATTCTCCTATTTAAAAAATAAGGACCATGGAGAGACCCCCAATTTTCTGAGTTTTACACTGTTCCTTTAAAAGTTATTCTTTCGATACATGAAATTCTTTTAATATCTTTGGAAGTTGGGATCTCGATTGACCCAGACTCCGCTGTTCAAGAATTAACCAATGGAAATCTAAATTACACCAAGAAATTCATATTACTACGGTTCGGTGTGTAATAATACAAAAATCCGTGTACCGAAGACGAAGGGGGCAAAAATTTCTGGATCCGTCTCTGTCAACGCATAAAGAAAGAAATGAACTCATTCGCACCGGAAACTCTTGATCAGAGCTGTTGTTTCACCGTTGTTCCCGCTGGCATCGCGAGAGATGCTCAATGGCTAAAATAATCGCCATCGGCAATGAACACCCGATAGAGAAGAAACCATTGAACGTGAAAATTCGTTAAAATTGAATTTCGAAAAGGGTAACCCTCTTCGCACTTTTTTTTTTTAATCAAGTTGTTTATGAATGTAATTGCTTTATACAGTCGTCGCATAAATATAGTTTACTTTTGTTTAAGTAAAATTCGTTTACTTTTGACTGACCCGATTCTTTTTTTTATTGCCGATAATATATTTTCCAGTTGATTAATTCATCAGTTTTATTGCCAGTCAAACTATCTTTGATATCAAGTTTATTGTCTCATAGAATATAAAATTTTGTGTCCCTCGCGAAACTCTGCCAGTTCATTCTTTTTCAATATCGCGTTCATAAGAATTCAATGGTGGTGACTTTACAGAATAGTATAACAAGCGAAAGAATTCTCACGGAAAGTTTCTTTTTAGGCTAAAACTTTCGCGAAGTTTATCCCACTGGTTATACGGAGGCATACGCGATTCGCTTTAAAATTCAAGAAACAAAGGAACTTTTTAAACTGTAACCCATCCGAGCGACGCGTTTCATTCTTCTGCGAACTTTCTGCTCGTATCTTTAAATTACACTTGGAACTTTGTATCCAATTAGAAGTTTCAAAGGATAAAAAAATGTAAAAATATTATCATTATAATATTAAAATTATTTTTTCTTTTATTTAATGCTGAATAAAATCATTCAGAGAGTCACCCTTTCCATATCGAAGGTACTTTCGAACCTTTTAAACGACGAGTCAATGTTAAAAAAAGACCCCGATTGCATTCCATTCGATCGTTAAAAGAAAAAAGTCGTCGTATCAAACAGGAATCGGATCAAACGAATTTCCATGGACGCTTTTCGTCACCGAGATGATCGATGCACGGTTTATAGTTATTCAAAAGTAGAAAAAGATAGAAAAAGCCGCGAAGAATAGGTTCATCTCAGTGTACAAAATCGATAGTGGGCAGCGATGGTTCAATCGAGGATCATTTGATCGATCGATTTTATAGTGGTCTGCTTTTCAACGTTTCACCTTCCGACACTCTAAATTATTAATAACATGATCAATAATTTGATATTGAGTAATTTATAAGATTAATAAATTTAATAAATTTCAAATCTCATTAATGCACCAAATTATTTCCTATTAAAACACGAATTCCCAAAACCAATTAATTCTACATAATTCATGACCAATGTTCTTAAAATAAAATAAATGTATTTTTTTCTCCATATTTTTTGATAGAAAAATTTCTTTACCTTAGAAATCAGCTTGTCAGGTTTCTCGAAAAAAATGAAGTACTCAAACAGAAGAGGGATGGAAGGAAAGAGATACTGGTTAAGCACTGACGAGCTATGTATCGTCGTGATTATCGTTAAATGGTAGTGAAACGTTCGTTGATGATTCTTCTTTGAAAATTGGTTTTCTGCGTGGCAGACGAGAAAAGAAATGGGCGAAGCACTCAGGCAAAACGGTTCAATTTTCGTTCCGTTTCTTCATCTCTCTATCGAAGTCCTCTCTTACATTCGTACTTGTTTACTAGTTCTCTCCATTTCGCTGTTTATTATATAGGTATTCTCACACACTCGCTTCTTCTTTTTGTTTTCCTATTTACAAACGTACTGTATACAGAGGTGTTCATGTTAACTTTACGTCCATTTTTTCAGACATTTACAATAATATTATAATAAAACCAAAAATAATCTGTGTTGAGCGTGTTGATTCAAGTGTAATGGATATTTGGAAAATATACCTAATTGCAGCTACTCAACACTCATCAATTTTCGTTAATTATCTCTCTTATTATTGTATTATTGCAAGTAATTGAAAAACTGTGCGTATTATCAGCATGAACATCCTGTACATTCGTGTCTATGTATGTATGTGTATTTGTTGCTTAAATAACGTTTGTTTAACATTTCCACGCTCCCCGTTTCCCTATTTATTCTCGATTTTACCTAAAATAATTATTTAATTGTTATTTAACCGCGGCGACACGTGGTTTAAAGGCTAGTCTCCACGTCGTCAATTCCGCACTCCTTTTCTTCCCTTAACTATTTCATTGTTCTTTGATCATTTTGTAATTCACGGTTCCATACGATCCTCGTGTACTTAAGTATTCACTATTTTTTTTTTTTTGTCATTTTTATCATTTTTTCATTTTTCTTTTTTCACGTGCACCGTCGAATTAATCAGTTCGTCCTCGATTGTTCTTCTATTCAAGTTACAAAGCGTTCGTTTCAGTCCAGCGGAGGATTATCCGGCGTTCTGTGGTTAGCAAACGATTTCGATGTATCGTCGGTGCTTGCTTTCTTCGAGGTGAGAAGGTTTTTTTTCAATTATAAAGAAGGGGCTGGCCGGTACAGAGGGTTGCCCCTGATAGGAAGCACGTGAGCCTCGGAGTTGAACACCCAGTCGTCTAGATTTATGAGATCGTCGTCGCTGAATAATAGGTAAAGATACTGTAACAGATAAATAAAATGATTTGTAATTTAATTTATAAATTTGTTAAATTTTTATTCATTTCTAGTAGTAGCTTTATTTTTATTAGATTGTTGCATTTTATTAGATTCATGACATAAAAGTATTTAAAAATAGCACATATGGTACATCAATTTAAAGCTTAAAGTTCGATAAAAATGACTACCCGAAAGCTTCATCAATATTCTTCACACGAATCAATTGGTTGCTCGTTGAAACAATCAATTTACAGTTTAATTTGTTCCATTAGCAAATATCCAGTTCCAAATCGTTCATACTCTAAAATGGTAATGGACTTTTCAATTAATTTTTGGATTATAAACAGACTCTCCATGGTATAATCAATTGGAAAGTTCATTAACATTGTCGGATATAATTGATTAAAGACTGTGTATTCATTAATGAACAACACTAGGCTATTCATTGTTTGTTCTAATAAAGAACCAGTTATTTTTTATTTAATGTCGATAAAACGTTTCTGCAACAATTTTCGTCGATCTTTAAGCTTCAAATTGATATTCTATAAATTGCATTTTGAAATACTTTTATATCATCAAATTATTGTAAATTAATTGTAAATTATCGAATAAACCTACGTCTATTAATTTCTTTATTTTTGGAACGATCTTCGTAAAATGACTAAGCAATTGTTTTATTACCAAAATAGAGCGAATATAGCTCTATCGACATATGTACATATATTCAAACTGCAGTAGTATAATACCGTATTGGTCAGCCATTGATACTTCCTATTCTCGATTACATAGAGAGCTCATGTAATTCAATAATATCAAACTCTCTGTAACCATACTCTAAATACGACTCAACCATCCCATTTGCAAATGAACAAGTACCATAATAATCTAAGCACCGTTTCAAAATTTGCTAATTTCCTTACCAAAATATTTCATTCGCCTTCAACTACAGAAATATAACGAAAGGGTTAAAAGAAACTTGTTTCGGACACTACGATTCCTGGTCGCGCACAAATCGGCGACGAAGCAATTTGCAGAGGTCTTAGAAGCTTTAAAACATTCTCGTTGCGCCCGGAAAGGCGATGGTTAATGAGATACCTCTAAAATCCCGCGGGATTCGGGCAGCAATCAACCGCGCGTTAATAAGACGATTAACTGCTTAACGCAGCCGCTGTTACGGCCGATAATGGCTGCCTACGTTCTGCTTTATAAGCTTGTTCGCCCGTTTTGCCCGATCGTTTAATCGTCTCTCGTGTTGCAACGTTACAAAAAGCCTCGTGGTTCTTCCTCGCCGGAAGTTAAGGAAGAGGTTACGCGCAAACTTGCAGGATAATGCAGCTTTAAACGTTGTTATATCGACGCTTCGCGAGGGATCGAATGAGAATTTCTGAATGAAAAAGGATGTTTAATGTTTCATCAAATTGCTCGTGAACGCGGTGACAGATAAACTACAGTAGGGATGACAATTTTAGGGGTTGCATAGTGTAGAGTAGACTCTTGATAACTTTCCACCCTTCACACGTATTTTCTAATTTCACACTAATATTAATCACGTTTCATTAGAAGACCGTTTTTTTCACGCTTGTTATTTGTTAGAATATTCAATTATTGGCAAATTGAAATTTCTTCCCTTACAACTTAGAGTGTGGAAAGTAATCGAGAAATTAAAGCCTCGAGTTATCAATTGTTAAAACCTCAATTAAAGTTATCAAGAAATAATTACAGCAAAGTATTATATTAATTAATGGATTATAAAGCTCTCGTATGGTAATCGAGAAAGTTATCTTCTGTATAAATGTTTGTTTAATATGCAACAACCTAATACTGAAAATTATTTAGAAATTAGACTAAGCTACTAAAAATGATACTTTCGATTAGAATTCGAAGAATATTTATAAGAGATTGATCGAATATCGATCGGAAGGTCCATACCTTCAAAGTTTCGGCGAAGAAGTAACTCTGTTGAACATCGTCCTGTGGAGGATCAATCATGTAAACATTGTGAAGTCCAGTGAAGCCTCCAGGAACACGACAGTATTTCTCGAGCGCCTGGACAGCCTCCCAGCCCCACTCACGGTATTTCGGGTCCTTTGTCAACCGCCACATCACGAAGTACGACTCGAAGGTCTGAAAGAAAAATATTTTACCTCGGAATTTGGCTAGTGGCCCGGTGTTTGTTCGGCGAGTAACATCGAAAAGGTCGGATTGAATATTCTAGCTTTCATTACCAGACGAGAAAACAGTCGAAAAAATAAATGCTGAGAAACATTTCCCTGTTTTCTTTGCTCTCGCTTTTTCTACGTTCCACGATTTCCACGACACGTTTCTGACTGGTTGAAAAATTCATGTAGTTTTTATACTTGGATGAAATTCAATTAAACTTTGACGATTAACGACAGCGAAATATTATATTATATTAATTAATGGATTATAAAGCTCTCGTATGATAATGGAGGAATCAGTATCGAATTTTACTCTCGTTAAAGCTAAAAGCTCACTGTAATCAAATGAAATTAATTTCATGGAAATTTAATTGAAATTCATAGTACTTTCGAATGAAAATTTAATTTTTCAAGTTAATCTAGCAGGAGGACACATTTAATTGTGTTTCTTCATTTTGAACGAAATGGAAGAGATTTTGATTAAAGTGTATCTTTCGGTTACGTCTGGTCAACGAACTTACCTCTGGCCGTAGGATATAATATTTCTCGCCATTCTTTAAGCTCTTCGCTTCGTTGCCCTCGATGAAATGGAAAGCTTCAGGGCCGAGCTTTGTGACACTTCGATCATAGGATTCGTGGCACGTATTGGTCAGACCCCCGGCTATCGTCATATATCTATCGGACAATTCATTTTGCAGAGTTTTCGCGCCCAATGCGAACATGCCACCTGCAAATACACCGAACAATTATTAAAGTAACTGTATAAAACAATACGAAAAATAAAATTTGAAACATCTATCATCGATGATCTTCTATTGCAGTGAAATTCTTCCATCGGTGACGTAAAATTTCATTTTAATTAAACGACGAAACGAAATAACCATCGAAGAAATAAAACTTGATAGCTTGATAAAAGGATAAGGATCTTTTCTTTCACTCACCAGCGAAACACGCCAGATGACCCATTTTATGTTCCGGCCTGTCGTATTTCAGATCGGACACATAGAGCAGCTTGCCGGGCGATGTCTTGATCATGTGCTGATCTATCGCGGCGATTGCTTCGTCGTACATTTGTCTCGCTTCGACGTCTTCTTTACCCGATTGAATCCAGGCTTTCAGCAGGTACTCGTAGAAACTGTCCCCGAGACCTCCCAGCGACATGTGATCTGTGCTCGACAAAAGAAAGACCTTTTGTCAAATGATTTGCCATTCGAGGAATCCTTCCCTTACTAAGGTTATTCGTTATATTTAAAAGAAAACTTCAGCCTGGAAACACGAGATTCTTCGTTAAATTGAAAACAAACAGTGAAAGAGTAGGATGAAAGACAAGTTTTCATCACTTTCAAGGATGACAAACGCTCGGCAACAGCTTTTCATCGCGTTCACGGCTCGTTGTCGTCCGTGGAATTCATTCAACGCAACACGCCTGTTGGCAGCTTCGATCCTCGTTCATTAACGCAGCTGGTATTCAGGCTTTTCAAAGCGAATCGCGATTAATAACGTCGCGATGCGCAACGAAGACGAGATGCATCTGTCTCGGCGGAAATTCGCCAGGAAGTAGGCCTCATTGTGGGAACGAACAGTGAAACGGTCGAACACTTGGAGAACCGTACCTGACTCCTCTGGAAGAGTAGACAGTCGTTGGATATCGGCGAGGTTTTTGCACGAAGAAGTGCTGCATATAACGTCGACAATTCGTTCGAGAAAGAGGAACGGATACGGACAAAAGAGAGGAACGGAGATACCGGTCGCAGTTTTACTCTCGCGACTCTTCTTCGTTGCGGCGAGCCTCGAGTACTTTCATTTTCCTCCCTTTTCCTGTAGCCCGGGCTTGAACCAGATACGAAATCCAGCGCGCGGAAAAGAGAGGACCGCGATCGAAACCGGCAGAGGAAATAAATTAGATTCGCCGGAGCGGAACACCGACGACTTTCCACCGGTAAAGTGGATACACCGACCATGGAATTGTTCCGTTCGCTCGAGATTCGGTTAGAATTGTCAAAAATATATCTATGATATCGAATAATATTTTTCGTTTAGTAATTGGCTCATTTCTCCGCCACCGTCTTTTCATAGAAATACAAGAAAATGAACCTCCCTTCGGTTGAGATTTGATTAGAATTAATAAAAATATATATTTTAAGAAGGAATAATATTCTTATTCTTAGTTTGGAAATTGAAACATTTCGTTTAAATTATTATAAATATTCACTATTATTATTAGTAATTCTTTGAAATATAATAGATAAGACTGTCTGAATTTCTAATAATATGACTGGTGAATTCTTATAGTAATTTAAAAGAAGTGATCCAATTTCCAAACTAAGAATAAGAATATTATTCCTTCTCAAAATATATATTTTTAGTTCATTCCTTTTAAATTATTACAGGAATTTACCAAACATAGGTGTTATTAGAAATTCTTTGAAAAAATAGATAAGAGTTCATTGATAAATTATTTCAACCCTTTGCCCCACACTCGTGACACAAATTACACTTTAAACGTGTCAAACTTGGCTGGTGCTTTTAGCATGTTAAAATTTTCAATTTAATTCTAATTTTAATTTGCCCAGACAAGGATTATTGAATGCCATATATGCACGAAATTTCAATGTTATTTATTCATTTTATAAATCAAGCAACGAATAGTTAACTCTGACCGACGTAACTATCGAAAGGGTTAAATCCAAACTTACACATTATTCTCCACTGTTCCTCCAAATTTCTTCCAACAATTCAACTCGGCTCATTAGATCCGAACAGCAGGCAGCTGCTCGCTACGGAGTACGCGAATGACCATGGAGGTAATTAGCTTCTTCGGGGTCGGTGTCCAAGTAGCCCGACGATACTCGAGATTCAATAGAACCATAAATTTAAGACCTCGAGTTTCGAGGAGCAACAAAAGCCGTGGTACGCGAGGAGGACGGACGCTCGGCTCGGGGACGATGATAAATATTCGTCGGGGATCGTCATACGTGCAACGGGAAAATACAGGAGGAGCACGAAGTCGGCGGAACAACAACGATAGAAGAAGAAGAAGAAGACGAAGAAGGGGATTTAGCACCTGAGGGGATGCACAGCATGATAAATGCGATATTCGGGATCGTGGAGAGGAGAGCTCGGGTACGAAGTCTCCTCGGTAGGCGACGGAAGCGTAAAAGGAAAACAGAATGAAAAAAGAAAAAGATGGGAGAAAAATGGAACGGGAGCAACTACGTTCACCCCCGTGTCACGAGGACACTATTCCCTGAGATATAATTGATAGCCGTCAGATTAAAAATCTATTTTGCTCGAAACACATCGAGACCCGTGAAGATTTATTAAATGAAATTACAGTAATAAAGGTTGTGTTTGCATCGATTTGCATTCTTACGTTTCTCTTTTCTTTTTATTTTCATCCACCATCCAAGGTGACGTTTCTCATTTGCAACAACTGTCAGGTAATTTACTCGTCATTCATTTTTTGTTTGATTGCAAAATTTTGTAATTTAAAATAAGAAATCAAAAGTCAATTATAATATTTTTATTAATAGGCAATTCAAATGTTAATGCAATAATTTAATTCACGAATGAATGGTTTTGTTCGAAATGGTACCCACGTATTTATTGTTTTTATTTCATTAGAGATGGGGAATTACATTCGATGGTTTTTCTGAATGACAGTTTTCATTAGGTGGGCATGGAATTTATGAAGGTGTAATACGGCACGAGGGAATAATTAGTTTCATGGTTTTTCACCGGAAGATTGATCGTTGTGTGAGGAATGAACGTGGACAATGATTCAAGCAACACGGGAAGAGGATTACTCGAGAATGCTGCCGCAACATGCTATGCGTTTCAAGATTTATTACCGTCGCTATAATTTATTTACCATTTATGTAAGTAGACGGGGCACAGAAATAGAAAATCTGTAAATTCTATGAAAGAGAAAATGGAACACGACGAAACAAGAAGAACGAGCCAAGTGAAATAATGACGAATTTTAAATTAATCCTAATTCAGAGAATTCACGACACGTACGAGGGTGTATAATCCGGATTCAATAGCGCGTAATTCAGAATTAATTCTAACAAATTTTCTCTCGCATTTTCGAGCATCAGCCATAGAGATCCATTTATCTCTCAAAATTACTTTTAAATATATAATTCATTACTGTTTGAAATTTTTTTTCTTTACCCTTTAAATTTTCATAAATTATATCACTATCTATTGAAAATTAATTAGTCGAATAGTTACATTAATTAACACCTAATGGACGAGCCATATAGAGTTACGTTTTTGATTGTATTGCCCTAAAAAAATCGCAAATGGAGAAAGATAGAGAAAAAACAACCCCTTCATTAAGTGTTAATCATAATTACTGTCTACTTTTATATTCCACAACAAATTTATTCATTTACTATTATTTTGCAAGGGATAAACATCTATTAATTTATTATTATTATCTTAAAAAAAATTAGTTAGTTACTAACTATTTGAAATGAAGAATAAAGCAAAATGCAGAAGTAACTTACGTTGTCCCCATTTTCCAGTTCTCGGATGAATGTAATTCGGGTAGAGGCCTTTAGGTTTTTCCAGGTTCTTCAACACCTTTCTCACGTTCTCGACCTTGCTCTTGAAAACCGGATTACCGGTGATATCACTGAGGTAGGTGAATTCCAGGTGCATCGTGCCGATTTCAGAAAGGATGCTGCACCCACTGCTCGCCCAACCGTAATTCTTGCTTGCCTGAAAATCATTCGATGAAATATCGTGTTCGATTAGCCGTTGAGAAAATTCAGTCGGGAATAAATTCACGATTGAACGGATTCAATTGAACGAAATAATAAAGAAAGACGGACGATCGTGGCGGTAACAAAGACAAAACACCTGCCGCGAAACGAGGCACGCTTCTTCACTCGTCTCTCTTTCTCGCGCCAAAGATAAATATTAACCCCTGTCGCGAAATTATCGGTTACGCTTCAGATAATAATGAAAATGTTCGGTTTTCGCGCGGGACTTAATCGAATTCTCCCCGGCGGGACGAGGGAAATTGAAAGAACGGATCTTTAATTATCCCGCTGGAAGTCGACGGTGAAAGTTGGGGCCGAGTTTCTTTATTTAGATGAATCTATAAGAATTTCGATGGATTTGTAGCGGGGCAAATTAAATGATTTTGTTATGATTTAATGATTCATTTGCATTTCAAATTTTTCGCTGTTATTTGTGCAAACTAAGTAAGCGAAGTAGATTTTCTTGAAAGGTATAATTAAAATTAAATATAACTCGTCGTCCAAGTACTATCTGCAAAAACTGCATCTCCATTCGAAGCAACCAAGTTTTCAAGTTGAATTCAAGGATGTGACATTTTACTATCGTGTTACGGAAAAATGAAGCGGACCATCAAAATGGACATTCATGGTGAGGAAAAGTCGAATGAAAGGGAAACTCGGAAGGGGGTGTGCGAGAAAAGAACAACGGAAACGGAATAACGTATACAAGAAGGATATGACGAACAGTTCTTTTCTGAATGAGGGATTTCAAGTATCGTGATGAATGCGATAAAACTGTAAACGTGAAAGAATGTAACAAAAAATATAAAAGTTTCGTAAAACAAGAATAGTAGGAATTTTCTTTCTAACATTCATAAAAATAATATTAATATTTACACAACAATGTTAAAAATAAGGAGAGAGGAGTAATAAATTGAAGAAGTAAGAAGTTTTGACCCGGAAGTACGAAGAGAAATCAATGAAAAAATGGATAAAACAGTGAGACACCAGCTTTCAGCGGTTTATTATCCGTCCAATCAAGAAGTTGCATATTAATCACGGCTCGCCGCTTTGGAGAACATGACTTGATGGAATTGTTTCAATTAAACCAGCGACGTTGTTTTTGCGTTTCTAATGAAAGCGCAAAAACCATCTTCGCGGTAATCGCCTTCTCAATACATTTTTTTCCATCGTCATGGGCATTATTGTTATAAAGAACGAAAAAGAGAGTGAATTTACTGCGATATAAAAAATACTGTTCTTTATATTTCCCGTTTTGCGAACTGATTTACGAGTTCCGGAATCTCTTCCTATTTTTATTTCGATGATACTCCAAATCTTGTTTCATATTTTTCATTTATTTTATTTACGATTTGTGGAAGAAAAATGTGAAAAAGTGTCGACTCAATTTAGTAGTGAAAACAGTTACAAACATTATATTATTATAGAAAAATTAAAAACTTCTTAAACTGCTTAATTGTGAACTGTTAATTTACCTTTATTTTTGCAATCATAAAAAATTTGAATTGTAAAGGGTTGAAGTGTAAACTTTCTTTGACTCGGAAGTCGTATTTCACCAAGCGAAAATTTCGGTTCGCGGTTGTGTTCGAAATAATTAACATTAAAACAGACTGGTGTCGGTTCGGTGGTTGACGCGAAACCACGGAATCCCAGACTTACCCCGGTATGGAGATTGATGAGGGAATGAGGAATTCCGGTTTCCGTATGGAAAGCGGGCAGCATCCGTTCGCCAAGCTGAGCCGCCTTATCCCGGAACATCACGTCCCCGGTGAGAGCGTAACAGGCCAGCAAGCTTCCCATGAAACGAATGTTCGTCTCGAACAGGGATATCTCGGAGTTCTGAAAAAGAGAAGCAGAAAAAAAAGACGCTTTCATTAATGCACGTCCATCTTTGCGGAAGAGCAGAAGGGTCTAATTCGACTGGCCGGGTTCCAGCAATGGAAACGCAACGACCAGCCTCTACGAGGCGACTTCAATTTATTTGCCAGAATTACGGTATTATTTTATCATTTGATCATTTTTATAATCTCCAAATCTTGATAAATTAATAATTTGACAATTTTTACTTTTGTCCAACATACATATAGAGTAATACTATTAAACCCTATAAAATGATTGACCGGTTTTGTTCAAAAAGCAAAAAATATAATATAACGTGTTTTTTACATAATAAAATACAACTCTATTTGGAAGAAAAAGTATTCGGGCTACGAAAGATTGTATTTTATTATTTAACACTTGAACAGCGGACTTTGTTCAAATAATTTTGAAAGGGACAATGTAAAATTTAGAAAAATGATAATAATATGAAATATAAAATTAAATTAGAAGTGGAGCTTCTCCATGGTCCGCCGTCCGAGGATTAAGAAACTCATTACATTATATTTCTTATTTTTCAAAGAAAAGGGGCAATCATTGTATAGAGATCAACAACTGTATACGTTATTCTAAATGTTAACAAATCTTAAATAGAAATAAATAAATAAACGTGAACATAAAACATTTTTGTCTGTGTCTTTTTTTATTATAATAATGATGATATTTCCTGGCATTGCACAAACGTATAGAAATATTACTGAAAGTATTAGAAAAGGAAAAAAATATGCAAGTTGCATTGCACACCTGAGTCCAGGTGGTAGAGACCGGTTCCATACGCGATACACCATGGATTTGTGAAGTCAGATTGCTTTTTGTGCTTCGTATATATTTACACCGTTTGTTGTACTAACTCACGTTGCTTGCATTCGGTTATTCCTTGCGAAACGGATATATACGATGTTGAATACAGTTTTTTTAATATCAACAAAGTGGTATAAATTGTAATTAAATCGTCTAACATTAAAGATGATTAAAAGTAAGTACGTCCGTCCTATTACCTCGTTGTTTAAACAAGGGTAAGTTATCATTTTTAAAGTCATAAATATTTTTCACCAAAATATTTTTTCCTATGAATTTCCATTCAAAATACTACAATGTCACATAAAAAAAAATATTTAAAACCATGAATGATTTCTATGCAGAGTGTGCTTGAATATTTTCATCGTTACCGAAGCTACGAGTATGGGAATGGAGCGTAAAAATTTGTCAAAGCTATTTTTTCCAGATTTTAAACCGAGTTGGATATTTTTACGCGGAACATGCATTCTCTTTTAACCTGGCCATAGGGGATAAATTCAACCGCACCATATATTCCTTGATTCATATTGGAAAAAATATATAAATTAAAGGATTTGGCTATTTTACGCTAGAACGCCCGACAGCTAAAAATTATTCAAACGAATTAAAAAATGTAAACGATAAAGTTACACGTTCGAACGTTTAGTTAGAAGTTAATGAAGTCACGAATAGATTGGATTGCATTCTCTATCTCGATTCGTTCTCACATTATTCGAAGCACGTCTGCAACACATTCTGCAGAAAAATGGAACTCGGCAGATGCATTTCAATTTTAAGTGCAGCAGAGTATTCAGGATAATTTTCAAGACAGATATACACACGTTATATTAAATTTTTTAATTTCTATCAAATGAAAATAAAAAACTAGCAATAATAATATGATTATTCATTTTTCTAATTTATCCAACTTGCTATATAACTTTCTTTGTTTTAATGATAAATAGTGAAATTATTTAAATATCAAAGGGTTAGTATAATTCTGACACGCTCTGTACTGTGGAGTGTCAATGGAAGAACGCAGAATAAAAATCGCGATGAGGTCGAATATACAAAATATAGGGATTAAAAATCACTTTGAAAGCCGATGGACATGAATGATACATAAATCACGAATCGACGATTTTACAACAACCGTTATTCCCATAGTGAAGCTCGATCGAGTTAGACAAGCTTATGGCAGCGTTTGTTTCGTTGCTGTGCATTGCGATGCATCATTTCCCTGGGAAAATGCAGCGTTGCAACGTTCAGAAATGCAATTCCGACGGCTCGTGAATAACGCGGCTTTACTGCGATAAACTCGCGAGATTTAAAGTTGGCCGAAACTTGTATCCGGCTTTGCAGCGGGCGTCTGCGAAGTAGCGGAAATTCGATGATTAAGTTTCCAGCTGGTGTTTAATGAGCTAAGATTATTATTAGTTTAGCCCGAGTTATGAAGTTATTTCTCAACGACAAACTGTCTGCAGCTCGTCTGCTTTGCTTTTCTCTCCCCGTTCGTATTCTCTTTTACATCGAGCTTAATCGTGTTGCTTGCTTTTACTGTTGTTACTTCCATCTGTAGACACGGTACACGCGTCAACCTGAATGCTCGTTTATCTTTCACTTTGTTTCCTCTTCCGTTTTGATTTTCTTTCATTCATCGTGAACGTTGACCGAATTATTTTCGTTCACAGACTTTGATAACAATATCTGCAAATAGGAATAATTAGATAACAAAATATATTTTAAAATTTCATTCATCCTTGAGATTATTATTATTATTCTTATATATGATTTTTAAAAAATATAAAAACTGGTAAATGGAGTGGCTGCTAACGAGTCAAAGTGCACCTTTAATATATACCTTCATTTTCACCCAGTTAATGCGATAAAAAGCGAAAAGAAAAAGGGTACACATAAATTTTTATTGAACTTATAAATGGCTAAAAATTCACGGACGTTCGTGTGAACGTGCTTTTAAGATTACTGACAGAGGCGGTAATCAGCGCGGCATAGGTATTAATTAGGAGGAACATGAAGATAGCGTTGGGTAACTGGTGAAGGGATATTAACGAATCTCGTTTATAACAGGTATATCGGTATTATCTGATTTAGAAACGAAAGAAACGCCGGTTAATTAACATTTATGTCTTGATACTGTGATAACAGGTGTGTAAACCAGTTATCTAAATAAACGGGATATATTTAGCTCATATTCCATTTATCGACAAATCCAATTATCTGCTTTTTATTCGACACCGTTCTCAAGTTCATGGTCAATTATTCAACTTGTCTTTTTATTAAAAAACTAATGTTTTATTCTTGAAATGTCTAAAATTTAAAACTTATTTAATTTTATTTAGAAGCTTAATACGTTGACTGTTATAAAAATCACCTATGATCTATATCTCGAATATTGTATAATTAGAAATAAAAGGGAGAAAATTTTGCACGATGCCAATCTAAAAATCTGAATTAAAAAACGAACCGATTGAATCCCAATGAGAGCCACTGTATTTCTCCGGGTGCATCGCAGCAAGTTTGAGGTGTCCGATGCGGCGTGATGCAACGAAATGTGCGTATCCCGGTCATAAATAGCACGCTGCAATTTGCCGCATCTCGCTGGGCAGTACAGCCGACAGGAAAATTGCAAAATACGATCGGCTCCACCTGTCGTAATCGCAGCAGTTTATCCTAATACGAGAGATGCTGAAGACAGAGGTGTGGCATCCACGAGAAAGACGTAATCGCTTTCGTAACAGGTACCTGTGATCCCCGTAACAGGAACATTCAATTTAATCATGTAACAACGAATTAATGCAATTGCACCGTTACAAAATATATATACGAAGATATTAACCGAAAGTTAAACGCAGTAATAATTTTTAAAGGAACAGTGTAAAATTTGTAAAGTGAAATTAAAATTGGGATTCTCTCCATGGTCCGCCAATCCAAGAGTTAAATGTCTTACTAAGATGAATTAATTTTTCATTGTAGCATTAATGGGTTAATAACTTTTCTTTTTTAATTGCAAACTGCTGAAAAATCATACGTAACGTTAAGCGTGAAGACCTTAATTATATTAACCGAGCACCGACGGCTGGTTTACGAGATCGTTAAGTTAAAAGGATTCAACGTTGGCCCTCCATCTATCGAGGATGTCGGCTCGTGTTGCTACGCTTTCCGCTTCGACAGGTGTGTCGGATTAACTCGTTTACTTAGGGCCTAATAGCGAGACCTTCTTATTAAGCCGGTGCTTCGTTAAAAGGAAGCTGCTTCCTCTTGCTTGGTGGCCTTTAACCCGACTTCCGCCCTCCAAAACTCGCACCCTCTTTCAATTTCTTCTGACATCAATTCTTCCCCTTCTTTTTTCCTCTTCTTTTCATGATTGCACCAGCTTGAGCATCGACGGGATTTATCCGGAGATTCGATCGTGAGATTTTTGTAAGCATGTCCGTTGCACAATCGAGTCCGTGAAATTTAATTTACAACCCTTTTCAGAACGGTGTTAATGAATCGAAGCGAGAAATGAATTTCTTCGCTGTTCTTTTGTACATTACCTCGAAGTACCTACTGTCTTTTTTTCTGTTCGATGGTTCGAAGAAGGGTCTTCAATGCAACGTTTCCACCAGAAGTTTGTTCGATTACTTGTCGTCTTGTTTGTTTCTTTGTTATTGCTTCACGGAAAATATTTCATCCTATGTCGCCGGCAAGTTCTAATTAAAACGTCAGGTTTTGCGACGATTCGATAATAATTGGAACTTTTTTTCGTTCGTATTTTGTGGAAACAATATCGCAGTGATTTGTCTTGAAAATCGTATACCTTCTACGATTGAAGATCAATTTGTTGGAAGATTAATATTTTTTGAAGAAATATTGCTAGATTTGGTGAACAAAAATTTCTCCAAATTAGTATAATTAATTGTATTTTATTAATTCTTTGAATAAATGTATAAAATGGAAAAGACCATGCAACAAAGAATGAAATACAATTATAAAAGTATAATCTTAAAGCATTTAACCACACAGTATTCGATTAGAAACCTTGTGCTCGTCCACGATATCCCATTTCGCAATTAAAAGGTAATAACACGGGACGGGCGTAAACTTTTCAATTATCTCGATTACCGTTCGTTCGAAACCTTTGACCAACGAGCGGCGTGAATGAAATGAAAAAAAGCAGCTTC